GATGGCAAGAATATAATCCCATTTTATATATATATATATATAAAATTATATAATTATATATTTGGCTGAAAGAGTGTAAAATGAATAAACATATCAAATTGATAGAGCTGAAGGTCGAAGATGCATTTCTTTCTTTTTCCTGTTGATTTAAATTTAAATAATTTATAAAGGTAGTTTGTGATAATAAACTTTCTTCTTCTTTAGCAAAACAATAATTTCTATATTTTCTTTTTTTCTAATGATCCATCGATGTGAAATCATACTACAATAAATTTATGCTTAAATATATGCTAGAGGAACATATATAATTATCATGTGAATGTTTATCACATGTACATTGGCACAATTTTATAACAAATATATGTTTATTTCCGCGAAGATAATATTTTATATCGCTCCATTAATTGTTTCCTATCGCATCTAGGATAAACATTAATTAGAATCTATTCTTATAGTGGCTAACCGGCTAACAAAATTTTTTCAATGCGCGATTTCTTTTATGTCTTTTATCATATTTCTAGAAAATATATATTTTATAAAAGATATATATTTTAAACGTAAACCGAAGAAATCTGCAATTCTTCTAATTATCTAATAAAAAAATATGCTTATTATCTTAGTATAATATAAATATTCATATATATTAAAAGAAAAGTTGTGCTTTGTAATAATTTCTTTTTTTAAAAAGAATTTATTTATTTACGTTTAATTAATTCTAGAGAATATTATGATAAATATGTAACAATATGAAACAATAGAAATCAGGAGAATAAATTTACAAAAATTGATATTTTTTTAAATGTACTCTGTTTCGCAAATTTAAATAGCATATTAAATATTATTAAAGAATTATCCATAAATAATACTTATCAAATTTCATTTCTTTAATTTGTTATTTTTTTAATTTTGTATTTTTAATATTTGCTGTTGCAACTAATTACTATTATTAATCAATTAAACAATAATACGCAATTTGATTGAATATAATTTTAAAAATAAAAAAAATTTTTTAGAAAAGACATTTATAGGCATGCTTTTATTTTATTTATTGATACATTCGAGTAGATAATTTTTGCAAGATATTTATATGTAAATTAATTTGCAATATTTCTTTCGATTACTTCCAAATGTTGCATTTTTTCTCGGGATTCATCGGACTGCTAACTGGACAATTATAAGCTTCAGCAAAGTCATCCGAATTTGATACAGAGCCAATAACTCTTAATCTTGCAATACTATGTTCATCATTCTCGGCAATTGTCATTAATTTGTCTGATTTGATCGCTTCACACCATGACTGCAAGTTATAATTTATTATTTATTAATCATTATTTGCATAGGTCTGATACATTATTTCCAAGTAATACTCATAAAACTCACATTAGCAAAGCCCAAGAAAAACAATTGATTACTAGTAAAATCTTCCAAGCCCGGCAATATGGCATCTGTTATGTTGTTCTTCTTTTGGTTGCTTTGATAGGCTTTAAATATTGCCTGTAATCCCATTGTATCTGCAATATTATCCCCAGTCGTCTGTTCGCCATAATCCTACCATTTCATATAATAAAAATGATTGCAACGTTTAAAATAAAAATGAAAATACTTTAAATATAAAGTGAAGAACATACCTTAATTTTTTTATTTGTTTTAGTATCAATAGGATAATTATTGAACTGTTCTACGAAACAATCCTTTTTTTTGTCATACGCATCGGCCATTGCAGAGAACCATCCCAGAAAAGTACCATCTTTATCGTACATGTATCCTAAAAATTATTTTTCTATTTTTCTAGGCTTGTTAAACATTTTCAAAATATTTTATATATATATATTTAGAAATAAAATAATAAATATCATTCTATTGCTGCAAATAAATATTGTAATATTTAGTCAAATTAATGGCGATAACATCTCATCGTACCTTGATCATCAAATCCATGATTGACCTCATGACTCATAATTGCTCCAACCATACCATAATTAAGAGCTCTAAAATAAAAAATTATTTAAAAAAGTTTTATTAAAATTTATATCAATATAAAATTTAAGTGTGAAGTAATTATATATCTTATTGTTATCAAATATTACTATATATGTTATTTTCAGCTTTAATTCGTTACATTCACTTACTGTGGTTGACCATAAGCAAACCACGGATTCTCGAAATTCGCTGCTGAGACAACTGTCATAAAAAAAAATAAATTCTTATTAAATGAATTGCAATTATCTAAAAGATTAATTGGCTAAATTTACTAATTTATTATTAGCATAGCATAACAATTAATATATTAGACGTCTGTTATATAATTAAACACACAAGACGTACTTAATGCATTTGTCCAAGGTAAATAATAGGCGTTTACATCAAGCGGATCCAATCTGGAATGTAAAATTTTGTTATAAATAAAATTTGTTTAAATGGTAACATAGAATATTAAATAGTAAATAATCTTACGAATCATCAGCATCAACGTTCATTATCATTCGTAAGCTTTTCCATTTGGAGAATTTGTTATATCGAAGAATGTTTTCATAATATGAACACCCAAAACTGAGCTTTGTTGGAAACGTAGAATACATTTTACGTAAAATTATAATTACTATGTAAATAGTTATAATGTTTTAGGAACTTACTTCTTGATAATAGTCCTGTATGATTGAAATATTTTTGTACCAATTCGGGTATCCAATCATTTTTTTCATGTTTTTTAGCTTTGCTGAAGCAAAATTCTTACCTTTGTCATTCAACCAATCTGAATTTTGAATTAAATACTCCATCTCTTCTTCTATTTCATTGAACATCTTTATTGCCTATAATAAAAATAAATATACAGATTAGTTAAATTTGCCAATATAAAGATTATGACTAGGAAACAAGTAAAATGAAACTTACTATTTCTAAGACATCGTTAGTGAAATATTTTCTTACAAATTCATACGCAAGAACTTCTTTTATCTCTCGTGATCCCTTGCAAATTTTCGATCTATTTCTAGATTTTAATTTAATTGTGTAATACAAATTAACCGTATTTTAAATTAATGATATATTTTTAAATAGATATTATTTATAGGAAAATATATCAAACCTTGGATAAAAAAGTTCCTCCTTGCTAAGTGCTTTTTCCCACGAGTCATACAACTCTCTCATTTCATTTGTGGTAGCCTTTATCATCTTACTTATAAAATTCCAATGTATATAATTTACTAAAAAATATTTCCAATAAACAGATGTGTATTGATGATATTAATTTTTCATTTTTGAAACTTACCGATTGTCCGAGTGGGCGTCTCATCCAGCAAAGAAACAAGAGATATGAAATAATTTGGCGCATTAACTTCTATACTTAAATCATCATCTACGATTTTATTTACCTCGTCAAACAATGTTATGATTTTGTTGATCCAGTCAATCTGCAATATTATTTTCTATTACATTAGTTGTATTTTTACCTATTCATCGTAGTACAAATCAGTTTAAAAACATAAATTATATCAATTAAAAATCTTAATTACTTTGCCATTAGTTTTAGGATTTTTTCGTTCATACCATTCTTGGAAATTATTAAGCGTGGTAGTTATACCGTCTAACGAATAGTGTTTAGGAATAATCTAAGAAAATATAAATATTAATATCATTAAAAGGCTATTTATTTATGTATCATGTTTTACAATGTAGAACAATAAAAATTTTAAATAATAGCAGAATCTTTACCTGAATCAGATTCAATTGAAATTCGACCATATCATTGATATCGTTTAGAAGACGTTGTTGTGAAATGTTGATATTCATCTTCTTGGCTATAACATTAACTACTTTCAAAATGTAATTAATGTACTGTTGAATTAGATTTTTTTTCTTTATTTCATTTATGTTAATCTGAAAAGTTGTTGTGTCCATATTATCTACAATTTTTTTTGTCTTTCTAAATATCTTCTTTAAATGATTCCTCTGGCTCTTAAGAATATCTACTTTCTTGCGGCGATTAATATCCTGCGTATATTTATTATTAACCCCTGTCACAGTTGCCTTTCTTGTTTTTGTTTTTCCATCTTACGAATGCTATGTTTTTTAATAACTTGAATATTATTGCTCGTCTGCCCAACATGCTGCTAATTTTTTGTTTTTCTCTTTTTATGAACAATCTTGCTGGTTAATTTTTTTTATTATCCTTTCTTTGATATCTTCATCATTACCCTCATCATCATTATCATCATCATCATCATCGTATTCGCCACTTCCATCATCATTATCATCATCATCATCATCATCGCTACTTCCATCATCATCATCGTCGTCGCAATCATAATAATCATCATTATCGTCGTCGTCATCGTCATCATATTCAGAATCATCTTCGCCTTCGCTTCCAGGTTCGTCTTGAGTCTCATCACTTTGCTTTTCTTCATCACTTGGATCCTCATCACTTGCACTTTTTCCTTCGTTCTCTTCTTCGTTTTCATCTTCGTCCTCGTCTTCACCAGCATATCCTTCCAACACAGCCTGCAGTTTTTTTGAGCCCGGTGGTAAATGCGGAGTATCGATCTAAACATACAAATTTACTTAAAAGAACTTTCCTTTCTCAAATCAAGAAAGTACAACGTTAATACAGATGTAATGTGAATATTTTTATAACAAAGATAATTAGAAAGAAATATATTATAATAAGTACCTCCACCACGATTGGATCACTTGAATGTTCCTTTATTCGCACGTCATGAAGGGAATTTCTTCCCGTCAAGCGCATATAATGATCATCCACTTCTTGCCAGGAGTACTCCTGCTTGTTCCAATTATCCGTTAACATTGGCCAGCCACCTAAACGTGATAAAGTAGAAACCAACGGTTCGATCCCTTGCTTCTCTATTGCATCTGAAAATATTAACAAATTATTATATCACAAAAAAACATGATGTAATAACAATAAAATTTTTATTCACGATAACAATAAAATTTTTATTCACTTTAATTATAATAAATACTTACCCGTGTCCATGCAAGCTTTGTACCATTTTTTCGCAAGCTTAACCAGTTTGAGATCATCTTTCGCAGGTGCAGCTTCCAAAATTTCTACAGAATTTTATGATATTAAAATGTATTCGTATTTTGAATTTTGTTATACGCAATGCAGAAGATGTGAACCTTGTATTTGCTGTTGGACTTTGCTATCGATTACATCGGTTGCAGACCACGCATCCCGTTCTTCTGGAATAGGATTATGTTCCGGCCATCGCCCACATGCAAATTCGTAAAAATCATTACATGGATCGACAGATTTATTCATATTTTCCAACAACAGATTAGCTGAAAAAAAAGAAGAGCGATAATATAATAATTTAAATTTTTAGAAGAGTAAACTCAACTAATTAATACGATATATATACCTGTTTCTTTGCATTTTTCGGAATCACATACGGTTCGCGTTTCTTCCGTGTTATCATTTAATTTCTTTGAACGAAGTAATCTTGTCAAATTTAAAGGATATCTGTGTGTTCTCGATGTGACATTTCTTATTACAAACACGCCGACAAACGCGCTACAAATGTTCAAGAAGAAATAATTAATATAATTACAAATATAAGAAATTATTGTTAATTCCGAAATTTATTTTTTGAAATATTTACATATAATTAAGAATTGTCAGAAGACACACATATAAATATATGTGATTATAAAAGACAAATAAATTTATGTATAAATATTTTCAAATTTTTAAACTAAATTAAAATTAATACAAATTAAATAAATTAATAATATTATAATGATATTGATAAATTAATAATATTAAATTTTAATGGAATACTATTTAATAAGCAATTTTTACGAATTACAAAATGATGAATCGCCTCATAGTGGAATAATTTTGTGTTGGTTATATCTTAATATAATTTCAATATAATCTCAATATGATCTCAATTGCACTGTAGAATGTTTTCTAATATGGTATATCATAACTCTATGATATTTCTATTGACTAGCTTACTCTTTTATATGTTATTACTTGGGCGGGAAGAGCGTACGATATAAACGTATCGAATTGATAGAGCTGAAGGTCGGAGATGCATCTCTTTCTTTTTCCTGTTGATTTAAATTTAAATAATTCACAAAGATAATTCGCGATAATAAACTTTCTTCTTTTTTAGGAAAAACGATAGTTTCCATACTTTCCTTTTTTTTCTAATGATCTATCGATGTGAAATTGCATTACAATAAATTTATGCTTAAATATATGCTAGAGAAACATATATTAATTATCATGAATGTTTATCTCATGTACATTGGCACAATTTTATAATAAACACAATACATTGTCTATTTCCGCGAAGATAATATTTTATATCGCTCCATTCATTAATTATGTTACTGATGTATGTCGTATGTTGGATAACATTAATTAGAATCTATTCTTGTCATGATTAACAAAATTTTTTCGATGCTCGCGATTTCTTTCATGTTTCTTATCATGTCTATAGAAAGTATATATTTTATAATTAAAATATATATTTCAAACGTGAGCCGAGAAAATCTACAATTCTTCTAATTATCTAATAAAAAATATGCTCGTTATCTTAACATAACATAAATATTCATCTATATTAAAAAAAATTCTCTATAATAATTTTTTTTCAAAGAGAATTTATTTATGTTTATTTAATAAAAAATTTTAATAAAAATTTTATTTAATAAAAAATGACAATCTCAATTGTTTTACATTTTAAATGAAGATATAGTCATATTTATTACTTTGAGTGATTTCTACATTATGCAAGCATTCTGACCAATACAATTAATTGGCAGAATGTTGATCAGTTGTTAATTACTATTGGTCTGTTGATGTTGGCTGATAATTTGCCGATCAATTTGTGCTACTTGGGATGTATTTAAATGAGGCATCCTTGTAACTAAATATTCTGTGACACTTTTAATAAAATAAAGATAATCAACTTCTAGACAATATTATAATGAATATGCAACGTAACAATAAAAGCCAGAAGATTAAATTTACAAAAATCGAATTTTTTAAATACGTACTCCATTTCGCATATTTAAATAGTACATTAATTGTTACTAAAAAGTTATCCATAAACAACTCAAATTTTATTTCTTTAATTCGTCATTTCTTTAATTTTGTATCTTTAATATTTGCTGTTAACTAATTTCTATTCTTAATCAATTAAACAATTATATGCAATTCGATTGGATATAATGTTAAAAATAAAAAAGGTCTTTACAAAAGACGTTTACAGGCATGCACGTTACTTTATTTATTAATACATTCGAGTAAATAATTTACAAGATATTTATGTATAAGTTGCTTTGCAATATTTCTTTCGGTCACTTCCAAATGTTACACTTTTTCTCGGGATTCATCGGACTGCCAACCGGACAATTATAAACTTTAGCGAAATCATCAGAGTTTGATACGGATCCTATAACTCTCAATCTTCCAACACTATGCACATCGCTTTTAGCGATGTTTATTATCGCGTTTGGTTTGTATGCTTCGCACCATAGCTATAAATTATTATTTATTAACCATTTCATAATTTTAGTCCATAGCCTTATTTCTATAGTTTTATTATAGTTTTTCTAAGTGATACTCATAATACTCACATTGGCAAAAGATAAGAAAAACAATTGTTCGTTGGTAATGTCCTCCATGCCTGGCAACATGGCATCTTTTACGTTATTCTTTTTTTGGTTGGTTTGATATGCTTTAAATATAGCCTGTACTCCCATTGTATCCGCGATATTGTCGCCTATCGTCTGTTCGCCATAATTCTACAATTTTATATAATAAAAATGATCGCAATGTTTAAAATAAAGTGAAAATAAATTAAATATGAAGCGAAGAATGTACCTTGATTTTTTCATTTGTTTTAGTATCAATAGGATAATTATTAAACTGTTCCACGAAACAATCCTTCTTTTTATCATACGCATCGGCCATTGCTGAGAACCACCACAGAAAGATACCATCCTCATTCCACATGTGTCCTAAAAATTATTCTTTTATTTTTCTTTTATTTTGCTTTTTTGTCAAACGTTTCTCAAAGTGTGTTTTAAATATATATTTTAGGATAAAATAGTAAATATTATTGCAGCTATTAAATAACGTAATTTAATCACGTGCACATTCTAATGACGGTATTATTTCATATCGTACCTTTATTATCGAATCCATGATTGACTTCGTGAGCCATAATTACTCCAATCATACCATAATTAATAGCTCTGAAATGAAAAATCGTTAGAAAAAAGTTTGACTACAATTTATGTTACTTTATATGTATTATAAAATATAGATATTCATCAATATATTTTATTATTAATTCATTGATTCATTATACATCTCATATATATATATATATATATATATATATATATATATATATATATATAATAGTATAGTATTA